TTCACTATGGCTGCTGCTTTTGGCTGGAATCAATTCTATCTTTATCAGTCGCCCTCTTCTGTGTCCAGGAATCCTCCATACACTGCAGAGCAGCCAGGGGGGAAACTGATGTGTTTTCCAATAATGAAATGGAACACAGCAAAAAATAACTTTAAAAAGGTGGCTGGCTGGTCTCCCTCAGCAGTACAGCACTCTTTTAATCCCTTGTCTAGTGTTTAAACACAGTTGTGGCCTTGCCTCTGCCCGTCAAAAGGAATTGAATATACTATCTGGTGCGGGTGCACGTGTATTCGTGGATTGGAAAAATAAAGTTTGGCATTTCCTTGCTTAAATTGTAATATCCATAGATTATTTGGTCAGCATTTACTACACTGCTGGCATCTACAGGTAATGCAACATTAATTACTGCAAGAAACACAAATCAAATTTACACAAATGTAATGTTATACATCCATCCATTATCTGAAGTGGTTATCCGTTGAGGGTCAGGGGAGCCAATGCATGGAGCCAATGCCAGCTGACAATGGGCAAGAAGTAGAGAACACCCCAGAAAGGTTGCTTGTATATCGCAGGGCCAACATATAACTATTCATGTTCTCATTTTCATTTACACTCAATTTAGAGTCTCCAATTAACCTCAATCCCATCAGCATGTCTTTGGACCTTGGGAGGAAGGAGCCAGAGAAACCAAGAACCTCGCGACAGTGCCAACCACTGCACCACTTTCCCAACCCAATGCCATACAAATCATGGAGAATTTATGGGATCAAACTTGTGTTTAAAAAAATATACAAGATTGATGAACAGTACCCCACACGTCTGCTGTGTAGGAAGCACAGTAACCGCAGTCTGTTTCATTTTGAAACAACTGCCTATTAGCATTCTAATAGCTGGCTGTGTGAGTGAGTTCCACCTCAGGCTTGAGGCAGACAGGCCTGCTGCTGCTGTTCGATGATCCATCTGCATGGCAGAAACCATCCATCCAGTGGATAGCTACAGGCTGCAGGCCGGCCCTTTGTGTGGGCTGAGCACTGTGACTGCTCCCTCTTGTACCTCCGTAATGGGATTACATTAGCCAGGTTCTTCTGCTCCCTCTCCAGCTCTTTCTTTCCCTCTCTCATGCACACACAATACAACACACACTTACACACACTGGGATGTGTGAATGACTGACTGTCCACTTGGCCATCTCATGTTTGCACCTAGTTTACTTGCCTATGGCCCTGTGTAATGATGAAGGTTTCATAGCATTTTCCTCTGACATTTTTGTTTTCAGAAGCAGCAGAGTGTTATTTGATTTTCACTTTTCATTCAGTATATTTTCCCCATTTGTTTTCATGGTTGTGTGAGAGACGGAAGGAGAGGAAGTATCAGAGAAAGACAGACAAGGAGAGATGCAGAGGGTTTTGTTCAGGGTTTTCCTCAAGGAGAGGCTGTCATGTGTAAAATCTTGTTCAGAACCAGCAATTGTGTTTTGTTGGGCTGCACCAGCAGGGCTAAGCTGTTCATTGAAAACCAATTTGTTAATGTCTTAAACGCTGTCCCTCAAGGACAAAGATTGATATTCAACATAACCTGCCAAGACACCACTGAAGAAGACTATGGAGAAAGACAATACTCAAGAGGAATTATGCAAGAGGTGTCAAGGACTAGATATTTTGTCTTTTTTCCTCTTTCTCATCTTCTCTCAGTCTGTAGTTCATTAACTTCACTAATACAGTCTCTGTCTCTAAAGATAATTCTTGACAAAGGCAGTGTACTGTGAATCTCTTTTCCACATCATACTTAATAAACCTTCTTTTTGCTTTGTCTAGTTTATCTCTAATGCTTTCAGGAGATGCTTCAGAAAAATCAGTTAGCTGTTTGCATTAGTTAAATACTAAATGATATAAGATTGATTAAAAAGGGTCAAGCCACCGGCCTACCAAAACGTTTGAATCTGGAGCTAGCCACCATAAAATTAAAACGGGAATCAATGGTGTATCATATCCCTGCTGCTCCACAGGATGATCATGTAATTCTAACCTTGAGGCTGCAGCCATCTCTCACATCAGGCCTTCCAGCATCGGGCTCAATAACCCAGCCGCCCATGGCTGCAGTCTGTTACCCCCCCATGCTACAGTATTCACAAGCAGGACCTGACAGATATTAGTTTGGTTTGTAACTTTTATCTCCACTACAGAAGTTTGGCTACCATGATTGAACGGAGCTGTTTGTTAATTTGGTTATTTCTTTCAGTACAAGTTATTATTTGTGTTGTTTTAACTTAAAGGAGAAAATGTGTTCTGTGAGATGACAAAGACAAACCATAGACAGTATATAAAAATGGAAATCACGTTTCCACTTCCTCCCACTATCCAGAAAAAAAGCTTAAAGGGATAGTTTAAGCTTAAAGGGAGGGGTGGGTCGGGGCTTGTGTACACTTGGATGACACCACATGAGCTGTATGTTTTTTCTGTTCTTTTCTTTCATCTGAAGAATCAGTCAGTACTTACTTCAATTGTATTGGATTTGACTGCAATGCTGTTTACTGTTTTTTGTGTACTCAAACACTTCACCCACCCCTCCATCGTGGTGAATGAGTGGATTTTCATTTCTGGGTGAACTATCCCTTTACTTTCACTTTTGGAGCTGGAGTCTAAGCAGTAGAGATTGGGGATGGAGCCACAGTAGAGAAGTCCTGTCGATGCACACGCTCGACGAATCAGGAATAAGCCTCAGTTGCAGTCAAGACATTTCACCCCATTCTTATGGCATCAATTAACTAAACATTTGGCCAAACATGCGATAAGAACTGCCTTAAATGACAGAAACTGTCTTTGTGAATTATTTGTTTGAAGTGTACTGTGAATTTTTTGTTTGTCCCATCCACTAACATGGATGAGGCAGTATTGATGACCTATTTATGCTGCAGCCAGCCATCAAGTGGTGATCCAGACCCTTTGGCTCTGCTTTTTGGGACCTGTCATGTCATCCATCTTTATATACAGTCTATTGGTCAAATACATATTGGCTGTATTTATAACCAAGTCATTCTTTTTTTAATAAAATATACTTTGCAGCTATTGTGGGTTTTTTCAGTTTTTTATTTGTAGTTAATGTATTGATTTTTGATAATGTTTTAAAAGCATTTATTCACCTTAAATCTTAAAAAAACTACTGACCCTCAAAAAGTGGCTGTGCTTCCATTATTGAATAGCATTATTAAGACTGATAGGACTGCTGACCTTTGGAGGCTATTAGAACTTGGTCTAATAGGCTCTATTTGGCAGTGTCAGCTGTGTGAATAGCTGTGATGTTGGTATGAGAGATGATTGATTTGATGACACATCTGCCTGGAACAAGTGCTTCTCTGCTGTCTATCTCCTCTCTTTGTCAGTGCTTGCTAGCTGCAGCTGGGTCTGGTTCAACCCTCCGCCTGCTCTCGCCTTTATCTGCTGTAAATGGTTCAGAATTTCATTGCAAGCCAGCCAAAGGAGCTAGTCCACGCATGGCTGCCTGCTTCTTAACTAGCCACTGTGATAGACAAACAAGAGCTGGATGATAACCCAGTATTATCATTTATCTGCATTGTCTTTGTAATATCATGGAAAGCCAATGTATCATTGTCCTGGCTAAATGAAGATCATACTTCTCATAAAAGATATTGTTTGAAAAACATATTCTTGTCATGGGTTTGCTGCAACAGGTCTAATTAAACATATTAAATTCATATTGTAATTTTGATAATTTTTATGGTAAGAATGATACGCATATATAGTTGCGATGGTACTCGAATATAGTCTTCCATTCCATATTTGAGTACTGTATCAGCTTCCATCTATAAAAAAACATAAAATGTTTTAGGTTGCAGATTTCTTTCTCACTGAGTGTGCATTGCTATTGAATGCTGTGTTACAAATACAAAATAAATCACTTTGAATATACCACTTTAAATATGAAATTCAAAATCCAAATTCTGTAGTTGTTTGCTGCAGTCCTCCATAAACTAATGATTGCACCTCTGTGGATAGTTTCACTGGAGCAATGTGTGTTTGTTTGTGCGCGTGCACGTGTGACCAGCTGAGTAGTGGATTAGCTCTGTCCAATGGCAGAAGGAGAGGGATCTACTTTGACAGTGTGGTAGTTAGCCCATCTGTCTATAATCAGCTGTGTTCGTGTGTGTGTGTGTATATATGTGTATGTGTCTGTGTTCGTGCTGCTGCTATGTCACTACCTGGCACCAGGTGGTCAACAGTACCCTGATGTAGAGTTGTGAGGGACTTTGAGCCTGTTGGTCTGCCCTGTTTTCCAGTGACTTTAACTCTTGAACAGCTGCTGGTCTTACACAGAATCTCAGTTCAGTTTTTAAAATGTCAGCATCAACCGGTCTCATGCTTTGGGTGAAGCTGTCAATATAACAAGAAAAAGGGAACACGCTCTTATCTCACTTTCCTCCAACTCATTGCTTTGACTCTGACAATCATTAATTTGCACATGCACCACATGGATCTCCATCACATATGAATCAGAAGGTACAGACAAAACCTATATTTAGAATGCTTGTCATGTAATAATCTACCAGCCAGTCATATTATAGACAGCTTTGAGAATTGAAAGCGGGGAAATAGTTCCCCTTGGATTAATTATACTTCCACTGATCATCCAGATCTTTTGGCATAGTATATAGTGTGTCAGTTATGGATGGCTGGAACAGCCCTGATGTTGGTCTTTCTGCTCCTTATACTCCACTTTCTGGGTGTTGTTTTGGTTTTAGAGACAAACATGCAAACATGGATAAAACAGGCAGGCGGCGATGCACCATTTCTAGACACTTGAATGTGACATATTTATTTAATACATCACAACATGGCTTTACCTAATTGCACACTCTTTGTAATGTTTTGAATCCACTGACTGAAAACCCTGAGAAAATACAGATAATGATCTTGTGTGATTCTGTGTTGAGGACTGCTTAGCTCTGCGTAATTCTAATGGAAGCTGTCTTGCTCCCTTTACAGGAAACCTCGGCCGTGTTGACTACATCAGTGAGTTTGAGTTTGACCTCTTCATCCGGCCTGACACCTGCAACCCCCGCTTCAGAGTCTGGTTCAACTTCACGGTGGAGAATGTCCGTGAGACACAGGTCAGAACGCTGTGGTCCTATATAGTGCTACCATTAATCATAGACAAGGGCTCTGCTCCAAATTCCATTCTATAACACACAAAGACTTTGGTTTGAGGCAACAATAAGATGAACACATTTTCAAGTTTGGTGTTTTCTTCTATCGGTTCTGACAAAATGAATATACTCCAAAGCCCCTGCCTACTACTACTGGTGAGGTCTAACTGATGTAGAAGTTTCTATTTACAAATGAATAAATATTACAAATAAATATAATAAACCAACAATATTGTTTATATTATTAATAAGATAGTACTTTATCAACATGGATTTTATACAAATCCTGAAAATTGTAAATGTATGTCTTACATTCTTAAAGAGAATAGGTTTTTGAATCAAAATTAATTAAGTTATTTATATAGGTTAATAATATTGACATTCTGCTGGTTTAGTATTGTACTGTAAGGACAGCAGCTTCTGCTGCCTTTGTAGGAGTATAAGATAATATTATTTAATGAAGGTCATGCTTTATTTTCATCTCTTTAGCAGAAGGAAATTGCATTTGTCCACTTTGACCTCTTTAAACCTCAACAAATACTAGTAATTATAAAGCAAATATCTGATATAGCAGTACCATTTCCTGGTGTGAATCCTGTGTTTCCCTCTTAATATTAGGAGGGCAGTGGGGATGATGTGGTTAGAGGTTTCGGGGAGTACTGTGGTAAAATGCTCAACTGTTGTACTGTTTCAATCTTTAATGACTGTAATCACCATGGTGATATGGTTGATCCTGTGCAAGCATCAACCAAAGTTAGCAAGTCTCAAAGACACAGGCACAGCAAGCAACGTTCGTTGTGTTTTGTAAAAACATGGTGTCAGGAGCAGCAGGCGGTGTTAGAGCCTCAGATTTATTTCAGTTGTCTAAAGTCAGAGCTTTGCTTGTTATGATGTTATATGGTCCTTTACAATTCTTAGTTCTAAAAATTACATTTTTTAACTAAACTAAATAATAACAATACCACAATGATACCAATAACCATGATAATTGGGGTCTTTGATCCACTATGCTGTTGAATTAAAAAAAAGGTGTGAAACACTGTCATGATGTCAATAGTCATAACTGATACTCACAGATTGTTTTAACTAGCCACACTCAACCTTGTGTTACATTATCCACAAGCCATGTGACTTTGTCTTTTTTCTCTTTTATGTCCTCAAACAATGTGTTGCTACATTGACAGATCATATGTACACATTATGAACTGATTAGATTGGCTGAGAACTGATGCTGTCCTCTATTTTCTACCTCACTTCTTGTCACAGTCTCCAAGCTTGATTCTGCCACTAGCAAGCTCTGAGCACTGTGATTGGTTGAGAGAGGCGGTCACGTGCCACAGAGATACACTGTATGTGGGTACAGTGAGTACGCCTTCAGGAGGATGGAGGGTGGTGCTACCATTTAAACAGAACTTTGCAGAATGGGAGGAAGGTAAAAGTGAAAACAATGGGTTTTCAAGTATGTTTGCTTCCTAATTTCTGTGCGTACAAGCTTGTCAGGCTTAGATATGAAGCAAACAAAAAATTAGAGATAAAATGTAGAGGGAGACAAATATAAACACAGAGGGAGCGAGGTAGGAAGACGGAGGGAAAAAGAGATTGATAAAGATGAGAGTGATAACAAAAACAAATAGAGATCCATAGAGAAGAATGAAAAAAAGGATGAATTCACAGCATGCTGTTACTGCTGTCTTCCTGTAGAGTGTCCAGGCCAGTCTATCTGAGGCTATCAGGCTTATCAGCCCATCTCCCTGCAGTGCTGTAGTCAGCACTAATCACATTTTATGGCTCTGAGATGAATGGGAGGCCTCGGCTTGGAGCCGGATCGATCCCAGAGCCAGATAGACCAGCACCAACAGCCTGCAGCCCGGGCCAACAGGATATTTGCTGTTGTGGCAAAATGACAGAGAAAGGGTGAGGGAGAGAGAAGGGGAGAATTAGAGTGACTGGGGAGTGGAATACAACACTGTAAACGACAAAAGAATGATAAATATCAGGCATATGAACAAACTATGTCCAGTGCCACATGTGAGAGCTAGCCCACAGGTGACAGTGAAAACCCATTTCCATTGCTCTCTCTCCATAGGACAGCTCACAAGCTTCTGTTTCTTATCAGTCCAATTTCCTTCTTCAAAGAGACCTTGTGTGAATTTAATCTACTCCAGTCGAAGGTGTTGTGGTTAAGTGCTGCCTGTGCATTTTCCCAAGGTGTGTGTGTGTATACAGACACTGTGATTAGATTGTGTCTTTGTGCCTATATCTGTCAGAATCCACATAAATCTTTAGTTTACATACTAATGGCTGTATTATTGTTCTGATATGACAAACAAATTAAAACAGAGAAATAACAAGAATAGTAGCATGAGTAAATAAACCAACTAAGTGTAGCTATGTGGGGAGAGGCTGTGCTACAGCGATATCAGTGGGTTCCAGGGAAGAACTGGGCTGTTGGAGTGTTTCATCCAGCTAAGCCTTGCTAACTCTCAGCCTGAGCCAGGGGAATGGGGAACAGTAAAAGCCCGTGATATTGGAAGTGAGATGGCCATTTTGAAGGAATGTAAGCTGGTGAAACAGATTTGGTCCGCCTCAATCAGCTTAGCAGCTTTGTGGAAATTGGCTTCACCGTAGCACTGGTTATGATGGATGGCTGGATGGATGAATGTCTCTGTTTTGTATATTCCTTTTTTTTCGACACACTCACTTACCTCAAAAGCCCAATTCTGGTTGCGTTGGCTGCAATGACCAGGACCATGTGACGCTATTTCATGTTTTGCTTGGTTTCTGTTTTTTTTACCAGACCATTTGTGTTTTATGACATCTAGGCAGATACATTTTAGCAACAGCTATTAGAGGGATTGTCATGGAGCAAACATTCATATCAGGATTACTTACTTAACAGATCCCCTGCCTCATCTACTACAGTTTTCAGGTCAAAGGTTTTTTACCAAATACTTGAAAATAAATCACATTCGTCTCTGCCTCAGCCATACTTTGTGTTTAATGCTAGCACACAGGCTGATAACATGCTAGATGCCTATGGTGAACATGGTAAATGTGTTATCATGCTGACATTAGCATTTAGCTAAAAACTACACTGTGCCTTAGCACAGACTCCCAGAGCTGCAGATATCCTGGCCTTGAGGATTATTGACGAAAAGTCCATGTGGACTAAACAAATTGTTGGGTGCACAGATAACATCACATAACCCAGCTTACATTATCTACTGACCCTAGTAAACACTTAAAATACAGTGTAGTCATTTCTGCAAATGTGTGAGACTTTTAGCTAATGTTGCGATGACCATGTGTAGCACGCTTGAAAAATCTGTGAAATGCTGAAAAGCTCTGAGGCAAGAGCTGTGTGTCCACTCTCACTACTAACATGGGCACTGGAAGGAAAACCAAGATCCACATAGGCCTCAAACATTTCCAAAATTGGACTCCGGAAGGCCTCTGGTTGAGAGCCTCATTTGAACAAAGGTTTTGATTGACAGTAAACCTCATACCTGAATACATACCGTATATAAATTAATTCAAAGATTCAGACTGGTAATGTTGTCTTCATTTCTATCAGTAATTTTAACTTAATTTATCAGCACAGAAAACAACTGCAAACAGGATGAAACTAGAAAAAAGGAAAGGAAAAGGAGGAGAGGGATAATACTGTAATAGCAGAGATGAACAAGAGTTCTTTACAGAGGTCTGAAGCATGTATGTATAAAACTATTTGACCGTAAGCTTCAGTTGTATTCACGGTTACACTTTTCCTCATTGCTACTAACGTTACCCTTTGGAGACATAAATTTGTTATGTTGCCCACTTGTTTTTGTTGTACAAAGATGGGGGAAAACCTAAAATCTTCAAATTTGATGATGTTTGGCCACTTAGTCAGCATTCATGTACAAACCCGCATCTTGTGCTACATCATGTATTTTAGAGCAGAGGGCCCGGGCTGTCGAAAATCTCATTCACTTTCATTAATAATACAAGAGCTCAGTGTCATGGGACCTTTAAAAAAGTTTTAAAATGCGTCCTATGTCCAAATTGAGTGAATTGCAAATGGACATGTAAGTTCCAGCTGCCGCTATTTCATTTCATCTTCTGCCTACGTTATGAGCAGAAACCAGTGGATGGGTTGATATGATACCCCATTGGGTAAGTTGATATGCCATTCCATTCTGCTGTAGGGATGTGCTCGATGTCAGGCTCCGTGAAGGGCACGGCTGTGAGCTATTATCGTAGAAGCCTTCAGGGAGCCATTCATAGAAGACAGGCAGTAAAACCTTGCGCAGAGTGCCTTCAACTCTTCCAACTACTACAGGGGTGATTTGTAACCCTCACTTGTCCAGAGAAAGCACAGTACAGGGTGGTTATTCTCCATAATCAGGAAAGAGAACAAACTGCAGCAGAATAGGCCATGTGTTAACTCGATTCCCGAAAGAGTCATTATCAATTCACTCCTTTAGACAATGCTCACCTTTTTAAATTTATCATCAGTTATGTTATGCAATTTGTCGTAGAAAGATGAGGTGGATGGCACATTGAGTTAAATATTAAAACAGGATGTTAAAACTATCACAGAGCCATTATAGATCATGTCTCAATGACACTAATACACTGGTTCTACTTTAATACAGCTATTGTCTTTTCATAGAATCTGATAAACAATGTATTGTGGGCTACAGACTGTTCTGTAAATGAGTTCCATATTACAAGAGTCAAATATCACACACTGTAATGACTAATTGGGTTTAAAATGCCTGCAAACATCCTCTAAAAGGTGTAATTATCTAAATGTGTTTTCTTATCATTTATAAGATACACCATTAATATTCTGATGTCTTACACGACAGCAGAGAAAAAAGAATCAAGAAAAGGAGAATGACAGTGGGGAGGAACAGGCTAATAGATGTGTTGCACACAAGAGAAAGAAGCAGTAATGGAGGATATTGGAGGAGGAGGAG